TATAACCCCCTATGATGTGTCCCCCCCCCCATTGTCATCTCTTTTCTAAACTGAAAAGTTCCAGACTCTTCAGCCTTTCCTCATTGAGAAGGTGCTCCAGCCCCCTAAACATTTTGGTTGCCCTCTTCTGTATTTTTCCCGGCTCTGCATTTTCCTTTTTGAGGTATGGTAACCAGAGCTGTACACCCTATTCCAAATGAGGCTGCACCATTGCAGGGACGTTGTATGCAGGGGCATTATAATATCTGCCGTTTTATTTTCAGTCCCTTTCCTAATATCACTGAATTGCTAGGCAGAGCCAGGGTTTCCTGTGCTGTGGCTCTCATGCATTTGGAGAGGGAATCAGGAGGCCCAGACGAACCCCTGCTTGCCTGCCAATCTGTCCCAGGTAACTGCTCCCCTACCCTCCAGCCCCATGGGCATGTGAACTGACATAGCGCACACTTAGGAAAGCAACACAATTTCTTGCAGAGTGTGCACATCTGCCTACACAAGCTTCAGCTTTAAAACAAGCAAATTACTGCTTCCTATATGTACACGACCATTGCAGGGACGTTGTATGCAGGGGCATTATCATATTGGCCGTTTTATTTTCAGTCCCTTTCCTAATATCACTAAATTGCTAGGCAGAGCCAGGGTTTCTTGTGCCGTGGCTCTCAAAGCGCTCATGCACTTGGAGAGGGAATCAGGAGGCCCAGCTGAACCCCTGCTTGCCTGCCAATCTGCCCCAGCTAACTGCTCCCCTACCCTCCAGCCCCATGGGCATGTGAACTGACATAGCGCACACTTAGGAAAGCAACACAATTTCTCTTGCAGAGTGTGCACATCTGCCTACACAAGCTTCAGCTTTAAAACAAGCAAATGACTGCTTCCTACATGTACACGATGGAGCTTTGGAATTTGTTGCTACCAGATACCACAATGGGAGCTAGCATGAAAAAAGCTTTAAGGCCTATGAGTGACCATTGACTGCAGTAGTGTTTGAGTGTAACCTGTTTTCAGAGCGCGTCTTTCCAGGGCAAGTGCATGCATGCTATGATTCTGCAGGAGCTTTTTTGGTTGTTGTTGGGTTTTTTTATTTTGTATTTTTTCATATGTGTGTGTGTGTGTGTGTGAGTGTGTGAGTATGCATGCACTTGGAAGTCATGGTGACCTCTGTTGACTGACACCTACTGGGGACCTGGAGGATATTCAGAGAGGTGGCTGAATAAAGCCTGCCCCTTCCTCCTGACTGCTGGAATTTCAAGGAGGTCTCCCATCCAAGTACTTGCTAGAGTCGAACCTGCTTAGCTTCCAAGATCTGGCAAGATCGGGCTTGCCTGGGCTATCCAGCTCAGGGCGAGGAGCATTTTTTTATAGTGCAGAACACGGTATTGAGCACATCATTCCTTTCCTGGGAAGATCAGTTTTTCATTAAAAAGGAGAGGTTCTAGCCCAAGTTGTGACTCTGAAGATATGCTTGAAATCTTGTCAGTGTTGCTTTCTGAGGGTTCTCTTCAACCACAATGCTTGTGTTTTGTGGTGAAGGTTACAGGATCCACCACCACCACCCCATGACTAGCAGAAACAGCAACATTGGGGGGAAAGCATGTATATGAAATAAGAGCCCATTATGAGTATTTGCTCAGACTGCATAATGTATAGATGGAGCAGAATTTGGACTGTCTTGGGTCAGAATTATATTTTTAGTCACAACCCTTAGTGCATTTCTTGCTCGCTAACCACCCTTCAGAATCATTTAGCATTGGCGGGTAGTGGGCAGTAGATCCCTGGTTTGCACACCGCTGACCGTTCTCCATGTTTCTCTCCCTAGGTTCAGAAGACCATGAAGGACAACCTCACTGCCATCGAGGACAACTTTGCCAACCTGAATGCTCGAGTGCAGAAGCTCACTAAATGAACCCCCCTTAACTCAATCTACCGAGACCGGGCAGAAATGGGTTTGCCCCCTGGTCAAAATCAGCACTAACTGCTCCGTCCCTTCCCTACCTCTGTACCCTTTTCTTGCGCGCTCTTAGCAGGAGTTCAGCCTTCATGCAGGCCGGCGGACTGAGTGCTCCTTGGTTTTCAGGAGGAGGAGCGCTGCCCCCTCTCCTCCCTTCTTCCAGCGTTTGCTGCCCCCATGGTGATGCTGATGGCAGAAGACCATGCTGCGTCCCCACGGGAGGGAGGGGCTGTGGCTCGGGAGGGACCCCATCTGCGCAGAACCTCCAGGGGAGTTGCATTCATTGCTTGGCCTAGGTGCCTCTGGCTAAGAAAGACATTGTTATCCCTCAACCTGGCATGGAGGCCTATTGTATTGGTGTATAATTATTTACTGTCATTAAACACTTATGCTTACTGTTGTGTACCGGGTCTTTTGGAGACAAGGAGTGGCTTGTCTCTTGGTGCTTGGCTGTCCTTCCTGTACCCTACTGCGATTCCTCTCTGAACTTCAGTCCTTATCTGCCTTGACCCAGTTTTGCTCCGGGGAGGTCAGGGAGCCACACAAAAGAAGAAGAGATTGGATTTATACCCTACCCTTCACTACCCGAAGGAGTCTCAGAGCAGCTTACAATCTCCTTTCCCCTCTCCACAACCAGGGGTCATTTGGGGCCGGAGCACGCCACAGCACAGCTCCGGCAGCCCAGGAGCGGGCAGAAATGGCAGTGGTGGCAAGCCCCGCCCCCAGCTGCCTGCCCCCGCACTCCTTCTCTACGGAGTTGCGCCACAGCGGCAGCACGATCTTTCCATTGTATTCTATGGCCCACAGAACACAATGGAAAGATTGCACCGCCACTGCAGGTCAGCTGGGGAAGGGAAGGGGAGGCTTTTGAAGATGTCTCCCCCCCCTTTGCTTCCCCTTCTGCCATCACTTCCGGTGATGTCAGCGGGCGTGGCATGTGCTAATAGCCCCGTAGCTCATTAGCATCTGCTAATGAGCTCCCCACAACAGACACCCTGTGAGGTGAGAGAATTCTTTTGAGAACTGCTTGTGAGAGAACAGCTGTGAAAGACCTTCTAACTGAGCCAAGGTCACACCAGCAGCTGCAAGTGGAGGAGTGGGGAATCAAACCTGGTTCTCCCAGATTAGAGTCTGCGCTCCTAACCACTACACCAAACTCACTCTTTCTACTCTCCATCTTACAGGAAAAACTATAAAATCCACTTTAAATAGCTCCGAAGATCACTGGTGCCCTGACCTGCATAGCCCAGGCTATTGTAGCCCAGGCTAGCCTGATCTGACCATATCTCAGAAGCTAAGCAGGGTTAGCCCTGGTCAGTATTTGGATGGGAGACCTCCAAGGCTCATGATTTGGAGGCAGGCCATGGCAAACCAGCTTTGAATGTCTTTTGCCTTGAAAACCCCCACAGAGTCACCATAAGTCAGCTACGGCTTGACAGCCCTTCCCACCACCAAGATTACTGGTAATTTACATCTCATCATATGAGGAGGGGAGGATTTCCTTGTTGGCCAGCTCAAACCACTTCATAGCAGCTCCCCACGGTCCTAATAATCTGGTTTGGTACAGATTTGCACTGGCGCCGAAATTGGTTTCTGCACGCCTGTGAAGTTCGACAGGCGTGTGGCCCTTGATACTTGTATGCAGACATGTGAAAAAAAGAAACCTAGTTAGGCTGTGGTGAGTGGTCATACTTATGGTGTTCTTCTGGCTTACTCTCCCTGCTGTTTGCCTCCAAAGAGTCCTCAGGGCAGCTGTCGTCATGTAGTAGGACCATAGGATAGTAATAAAAATCCAACAACATTCTCCCTCCTGAACCAGAATCCAGAACAGCTTCCAATCGACAAGCACCCGGCCCAGAAAAATGTGGAGCGGCTCTGTTGCATTCCTGAGTCGTGATTGGTGCCAGGGAAACTCAAACCCTGCTACTTATTCAGGAATGCATATTTCCCTGTTTGTTGATAGCTGTGTTTCTAAGATTAAGGTACCCAAAGGAATCAGAGGGCGTTGGTTAAAAATGGGGTGGAGCGAAGAGAAGGAAAGAGGAAAATATGAGATTGACTAGAAGGATCACAGGCTGAAGGAATAAAAAGAACTGCTGGAGTCACTAATGTCTAAAGTCCTTGGAGGATGTGTGATGATCACAATCCTGACCCACCTTTATAGGTCTGCTGTAAAGATTACTTAGATGTGTACGAAACACTTTGGAAAGCTATAGCTGCTTAGGAGTATCAGCCCATGTCTGAATCCAGAAATAGCATTTGTTCTTTGTACAGGCTGGCAGTTGGGGCTCCTTTGAAGTCAGTGGATGGTGCTGCAGTGGTTAGAGCGGGGGGAGGGGGTACTAGGGATGTGCAGGGAGAAAATTCAGCTTTTTTCGGATTCGGGTGTAATGAAGCTGAATTTTTTTTGGTATTTCCGAATATACCCAAATACCAGTACTGGTAATGTATTGGTACATCTGGAAATATTCGGGAATACCGAAAACATTCGGCTCTATTATATCCTATGGGTCCATTGTAGTCAATGGCAAAATCTTCTAAGGAGTCTTCAGAGGGCTGGGGGGGAGGGGGGTTGAGGTAGAGGCACAAAATGTGTACTGTAGTTACTGGAGCCTCTCCCCAAAAGAACCCCCAAGTTTGGAAAGGTTTGGACCAGGGGCTCCAATTCTAGAGGCATCCGAAGAAGGTGCCCCCATCCTCCATTGTTTCCCAAAGGCAGGCAGATAAAACCACCACCCAGCAGTTTCTCCCAGCGAAACTCTGCAGTAGAAACTAAGTGAGGGTGGATGCTTGCAGGGCCAGCAGCAGAACCAGGGCAATATGTCCACCAGAATCACTGCCACTGTGGCAGTGCCAAAACCCAACAGGACTAAGATCCAATCTGAGAATCTCTGAAGGGGGCATATTTGCAAGGCCAGCAGCAGAGCCAGTGCAATGTTCTAGGGCTAGTGCCCAGTAGCAGAACCCAGTGCCAACCTACTTATCAACAGAATCCAGTGCCAACCTACTAGCTGAACCCAGTGCCATTGTGGCAAATGCCAGCTCAACAGGAGGACTGATGTCAACTGAAGCACAGAATCATCACAACAGCAATACACAGAAGAATTTCAAAAAAGACCAAACCTGTGATTGACCAAAGAGCAGTGTGCCCATCCTTACCTGTAATTCTATTGGCCAGTGCTCCTCCCCCCTCCTGTCCCTGGGAAAGCAAGCTAGTAGTTAGGCTTCACGTATAAAGCCAGCAGCAACTACAGCCTTCAAGCTGCAATGCCATTTGCAAATACATTGCAGTGATTGGCTGTATATACATTCCCTCTTCCCCCTCCCCCCTTCTGCAAAGCAGAGCAAAGAGCAGGAAAGAGAAGGTAAGTGCAGCCCTTTAAAGTTTAACCCCCCCAAGCCTGTATTCGGCAATGCAGAATAAAAGCTGAATAGTTTCAGCTTTTATTCTGCATTCTGTATTCGGCAACTGAATCAGATCAGAGATTCTGATTCAACTTGCCAAAATACCGAAAAGAAATTTGGGGGTGGTGGTGGTGGTTCAATTTTACCGAATGCACACCCCTAAGGGGTACACAACTCAAAACAGTTACTTGGGCCAGAACTGACGATTGGAACTTAGTGGGACATACTGTGGAAACAGGATATCACTAGGTCTTGCCCCATGAATTTCAGGGGCCTGAGACACTAGAGGAATCAGCAGCCTTTAGAACTGAAACAGATGAGTTGAAGACCAGCATCTCACTTTGTAATTAAATTGCAGGCTCATGCAACCGTAATTTGACTTGGGATTCTCCAGGGAAGGGAGAGAGGGTTTAACCCTTCAGTCTCCATTTGGTCTCACTATTTGACAACCGGCTTCCAGCCCTGGGCCATATGTTGTGTGCCCAGGGGGTTAGGGTTGGACTAGGACTGGGGAATACAAATCTGGAATTGGTCACAAAGCACACCTTGGAGCAGTCCCCCCCCCCATTTCACTCAAAGGGGGGAAACCACGTAAGCCACCTCAGACTCCTTGGCGCAGGGCCCCCCCAACCTTTTTTTAGCCCTCAGGCACCTTTGGAAATCTGACATACTGTGGCAGGCACAGCCACAAAATGGCTACCTCAGGAGGCTGAGCCAAAATGGTCACTGCAGCTTACCTTCAGGCACACATTGGAGATCCTTGTGTTGTGGTGGCAGCTGCTGCCAAAAGGTTTTGAAAAATCTGCACAGCCAAGAAGCAGCTTTGCTGGGCAAAGGCCCCAGCTAACCCCGTTCACTTTCTAAAGACACTTGGTGGGAACCAGGAAAAGCGGCAGTGGGTGCTGCGGTGCCCACAGGCACCATGTTGGGGAACCCTGCCTTGGACAAGGGGGCAAGATTAAAAATGGAATGGGTAGGAAGAGAGTTCACATGATAAGGGACTGCGAAGATCAGCAGGGCCAACAAGATCCCCCCCTTAACTGTCACCCCCACAATTTCCCAACCTGTAACTTCTTACACTCCTGCCGACCTAGCAGTGTGAAAGCAAGAAATTGCAAGTAGATAAATAGGTACCACTTCGGTGGGAAGGTAACAGCGTTCTGTGTGCCTTGGTCATGCAGGCCACATGACCACGGAAACGTCTTCGGACAGCGCTGGCTCTTCGGCTTTGAAACGGAGATGAGCACCGGCGGGCCGGCACCACAACCCTAGAGTCGGATTCGACTGGCTTTCGAGCAAGGGAAACCTTTACCTTTAACTTCTTACAAAGAGGATAAAAAAATCCCCCTGAATGGTCCATTGAGTAGAGACCCCGGCAAGACCAAATCCTGTCAGCCTCTTCTTTTAAATACATATTTTAATACTTGATACAAAACACACACCCCAAAAAATAAACAAATAAAGAAACAGTAACTTCAATCTAAGCGTCAAAATATTTTCATCTGTTAAATTAAAAGTCGCTCCCATAGAAAAGCTACAATTCACAATTGTGTAAATTTTTTTTTTTACAAAACAAAATTTAAGCTCAAAAAGGAAAATATTTTCCCCCATTCCTTTTTTCTTCTTCTTTATACAAAAACAAAGGCCGAAGTTGGTTGGTTGGTTGGTTGAAGTGCGGGGGCGGGGGGGAAGGACAGCGCAACCTGTACAGTATCTACACAGTGCTTTTGCATAATGCTTTTGAGAGTCGCAACCAGGGGGGAAGGGTGGAGCATTTTGGTCTTTCAGAGATGAGAGGATTGTAGTGTGTGTGTGTGCGGTGTTTGGGGGGCGGGGGAGGGACAAGCAGATGAAGGAGGGGTTGCTCTGACCAAGCTGGATCCATTTATACTCCCAAGTACAAACTTCTCCTCCTAAACCTCCCCCATCCCTTCAA